ACATGCACATGTATGAGATGGTCAATCAACTGATTTGCTTAGTAAAGACCTTCTAGTTTGGTGTGACCTTTAAGCACTCTAAGACATTTCAACTCAATTCCCACCCAAGGGCTTTCAGCTCAATCCTTTGTTTCTGTTTCTACACTTATCCTTGACCTCTTTCTACCAAAACGGCAAAAGACAGGACAGTAAATTTGGTTTTTCTCAAGGTTCTAGCTATTTCCAACGCTGTGAGGACTTGTCTGCATCTTTAATACTTCCTTCCCAACTACAATGTTCCAACAGTATATGAGAGCTTAAGACTCAACACATCCCTTTCTTTCCAAATTCCCATCAAATAAAGAGTAGGCCTTTGTCAACAGCCACTTAGTAAAACACAGCAGATACCTCCAAAGTGATGAACTACCTACCATGAACATGACAACACTGAACAGATAGCTCCATTCAATGGCAATTATATACAGAATGGTTTTCTATCCACCCAAAGGGAAATTTTCAGCTTTTTTTTTTTTGAAAAAATCAGTTAGATACAGCAACACCCAAGAAACTCAGCATTTACATCTTCAAAAACTTAACTCTTAATTATCAGTGTCAGACGGAACAAAGTATTAAGTACAATAGAAATAATGAGACTTCCTGTGAGTAGAAAGGGAGGGAAATAAGTAAAGACCCTAGGAAAGCTCATCAGTCAGCAGCAGAGCTCTCACCTGAGGTATCTGGTAAAGGGAAAGAGACTCAGTATTCAGAATGGATTTGGGTCAGGCAGTCGAACCATCAATATAGCAACAGCTGGCCAGCAGTGTCACCCAGACTCAGTGAGGGGAAATGAGCCAAACCAATGCAGCTTTCTACTTACTACAGGCAAAGAGAAACCAGCCTCAACTGTCCGCTCTGGCAGTCTTCACCCCAGTGGAAGATGACGGGAGTAAGCTGCTGAATTAAGGATCAAGTCTGTCTAACTGCAGCTCAGGGTTTACAGTCTAAAGGGAGAAGAGCAAATGCAAAGTCCCAGGCACAGCGGAGGCAGAGATTCCAGGGCGAGACCCGGCCTGTCCCGTGTCATCTCTCTCTGTTCCTGGAGAAACAGCAGGGCAGCCCAGGAGGCCTCCAACAGCCTAATTTATGCGTCCTAAGTGAGGGGCAGGAGGGTCTGGGCACAAGGCTGTACTATTACAAGCCTTACAGAAACATCATTTTGGTTATTCTCAATACCATTAAAAAGATATCTTCAGGATCCAGGGACAATTTTTTAATCTGTTTCTACAATCTGTGGCAAAAACCTTAAGGCCTAACCATATCATCTTGTCCCCTTTCCACATACAATTCAGAAAACCAACAGGCACATAGACAACTGATTTAAGCACCAGTACATCTTCCCAGATGGACAAAGTTAACAGGAAACCAGTAACAACACCATGGCCAACCCTTCCATTAAAAACAATGAACTTTCTTCAAGAGGGAACCCAATCACTTCTGGTCATCATCTTAAGAATCCCACAGAATTCTCTCGTGTGTGAGTGCCAGGATGTCCTGCTGACAGGTTCCTGAGCCATCCTGAGATAACAGGCTCTAGCTTCTTAAATCTGAGCCTAAATACTGGGGGGGGGGGGGGTACATGGCTCTATCTCGCTTGTCTCATTTTCTCTGCTGAGCCCACGTAACTGGTTAAACAAACCAGGGAGGGCACAGTACTGGGCAGTGAGGACACGGCTTACTATACAAAGCTGATGCCATATTTTAAAACATCCATCCTTAAAACAAGGGACTCACTTCTTGGAACTTCTAGGAATTGCTTAGTAATTACTAGTCAACACTAATTACTCTATACCTAATCAAGTGCTAAACACTGGGCCACAATGAAGGCTACAGTGAAGGAATGACCCTTTGACAGACCCTGAGGCTAAAGGCCTTAAACCTCCTGCTACTCTGCAGTTTCTCCAGGACAAAGGTGAGGCTGGGGGGGACAGAACCAGTGCCACAGTGACTCAGAGAGCACTCTCAGCAACTGCAGGTCTGCGCTCGCTCCACCACTGTCTTAAAGCTCCAGGGATACACATCTCTGCAGAGCAAATTCAGTCATGAAACTCTTTACCCTCAATATGAGCTCTATTTATTTTTCTATGAATCACTTATATGAATTCCAATTCATATTGGATACTCTTAGGCTCCTGATTTGTAATGCAGGTAACACTGAGATATAAAATCTCAGATGTCACTGTCTGGAGGAAGTTACTAGGCCAATGATAGGACTTGCTATACAGATTGTTTCAGCTACCTGTTTTGTTTTTTTTTTTTCAGCAGTTAATACAACTTAAAAGAATACCTAAGGAGTGTTAATATTGGTACAATTTAGGGATGAGGAATCACATGACATGGCTGGGACCCAAGCACAAGGAGACCTGATTCAATTTGGAGCCATGTAAATTAGCTCTTTAAAAATGTGAATAAATAGCCGGGCGGTGGTGGCTCACGCCTTTAATCCCAGCACTCGGGAGGCAGAGCCAGGCGGATCTCTGTGAGTTCGAGGCCAGCCTGGGCTACCAAGTGAGTCCCAGGAAAGGCGCAAAGCTACACAGAGAAACCCTGTCTCAAAAAACCAAAAAAAAAAAAAAAAAAAAAGTGAATAAATGTAAAGGCCTACCTTTCCATCATTTTTTAATTACTGTAATGAATTAAAATAATTACCGGATTCCTTTCTAAGTTATTCAGCAGGCTGTGCCTGGAAGCATGTTAAGTTATACTCAGTAACATTTACTGACACACTCTATGGCCAAACACTATGTACTTGATAGCATCTCCAATGTTCACAATAAAATGGACCTCCATTTCACATGCACAGATGACTTAAGGCCTCAGATTTTTAAAGAGCAAAGCAATGGGTCTCAATTATCAGAGACTTACCTGGCTAAACCCAACAGAGATTCCTGCTTCACCATGTCTCCACTCACCTAACCCTAGACTCTGAAAACACACTACACACCCATGTACTTTAGTAGCATCTTGTTCCCACCCTGGGCTTTTACTGCAAATACACATTCCCTGGAGTTTTGTTCAAGCCCTGGAACCAACTGCTCTTTTCTCTTTACACAGTCCCCAGGGCATTCTTTCCATTCCCCAGGTTTTAGAAGCACAGTGAAGCCCTACCACCAACCTTAGTGAGCTGAGCTGAGTTATACACAACCAGACCTAGGAGTGCCACGTTGTAGTGACGGCACTACAGACACAACAGCCAACGCCGCCTTTCCTATGTCCTACTCTCAGTTGTGTGCACCCGGACACGGCTGCTATCAGCTCCTCTTCCACGCCCTCTCCTGACCTATCTACTGCTTAGTGTCCATCCTACAAAGCATCCTTTTCAACAATAAGTGGTCTTCCAAAGGGTGCCATTGCACTTCCCTTCTCAGAACTTCCCGATCCTAAATGAATTAAATCATATGCATACAAGAACCCATCTACAATCCCCAGCCTGTCACCTCTCTAGTCACTCCTAGAGCCAACACCACCGTGAATTTACTTTAAGACTCCTTTCCATTCTGTTCTCTTGGGGATTCAGGAAGACAGCTTACTCCTTTGGTCCACATACACCCTATATGGAGCCTGACTGCCTTACCATCTCCTACCCTCCACTCCTGGTGATACACTACTATATGATTACCTATCATGTGTCTGAGATCTCAGAAGGAGCCAATCCATCATCTTTCTATCAACATCACCTACCACAGCTCCTGGCACGTATTAAAGGCTCAATAAACAAGCTAACAGGCACCTGTAAACAGACCAACTACTTCCCTCACTCCAAGGCTCATCACCTATGTTCGGTGTACTCTCTGCAAAACGTTAGAACACACTAGAGGACTGTCTAATATACACAGAATTTAATATAAGGTGGCTGCCAGCCCTGTCCCTTCTCAAATGCCAATGGCACTTTGCCTGCTCTCAACCCAGCTCTATGCCCATCATTTCACCCTGTGTTGCCCACGTGGAGAGCACTGATGATTTTAATTAGCATATCAAGCTTCCTTTGCTTTCACATGGAGAGTTACCTCAATCGTCCCGGGCAACTTTCCTATGTCCTACTGTGAGTTGTCAGAACTACATCTTCAAGGCTACCTGCTGGTTCCACACCCTAACAGGAGTCCACGTGGCCAAGGCCTACTGAGAAACAAGCTGACAGCCCCAAGGCAGTTCCACCTACAGGACCGCTTCTGGAAAACTCTGTCTAACACGAATTCAAACGCAGAAAACAGAAACCCCGACAGAAGCCCGCATACAAAAACCACCTGAAGTTCCTGCTTCCTAACACATGTCTCCAGTCTTCACGAAGAACTCTGAAAAGACGGCTGGCTAAACTAGGAGCACACACGCGTATGCTCAGCACTACTGTTCCACGTGGTTGGGGGGGTGGGGGGTGAGCACACCTTTTAAAAAGTACACGCGACGGGCAGAACGTTCACCCTGGCTGGATGACCCACACCTGCTTTTTTTTTTTTTTTTTTTTTTTTTTTGGGAAATATCAGAAGCTGCATCCAGTTTTTTTTTTTTTTTTTTTTTTTTTTTTTTTACATCGAAAGACGCCTGCCTCCAAAACCACATGATCCCTGCCGGATTTCAAGTCAGGGTCCCCCGACGGTAACCGACTCCACGCCGCGTGAAGATTCGGCCCGGAGAACTCTGAGCCTGGAAGAGCCCAGCATCGAGGCGGGGGAAGAAGAGCAGGCTCAAGCATGCTCAACTCGGCGGGGCTGGGGCCAGGAGAAAACAAAACAAAAAGAGGAGAGGAGAGGGGACCGCGGGGACCGGGGTGTTGGCGGGAAGGTCGGTGCGTCCGTCCGTCTTCCTACGACTCGGTCACGGAGGCGGAAGGACCGAACCCACACACTCACACACACACACTCAGGTGCCCTCCGCTCCAACGCCTCGGGGCCCCGGCGATGCGCGGCCCCGCCAACCCTCCCGCCTCGCGCCCTCCGCTCCGACTTCCGGGCCGGCGCTCCCGCCCC